CCTCTGGTGCAAATTACTGACCTCTGTCATCATTTTAAGTGGGGGAACTTGCACAATCGGTGGCTGACTAAATACTTTTTTGCCCCACTGTATATTCTTATAATTGCCGATGGATTTATCGGTGGTTGTGTCCGATGTGTCACAAAGCAACAAAGTATAAAGAAGAGTTGCATTATGATTAAATTAAATTAAATATAGAGCAGTTTAATATATTCAGTTTTTCCAGACGTTATCTGTGAGATAGATGTGTTCTTTATGCTATGGTGACACAAAGGATCACTGTTTGGAAATAGCAGCCAAAATTATTGCAGCCGTGTGAAAATTTCAGATTAAACAGAAATATTTATTAACTGCTTATATTCAGAGTCTAGTCAGAACCTCACAACAGAAACAGAAATAACAAATAGTGACATAGTTGATGCAAAATGATGATTTAACTGCTAAACGACAAACATTTCGCTCTTATACAGGACTATAACTACAATACAACCAGATGGTAACCAGCTATGTTAAGTCCCCCACTCCAAAGAGATGTGTTGCAGAGAAGTTAATTGCAACATGTCGCCAATCTGTCTGCTTTTATAAATTAGACAGCAGTTATTTGCAAGCCTTCACTACTCTGTCTGAGAGTAATTGCAGTTGGTGTGATTTGGACCCTGACTGTTTGGAGATAAGTTGCCTCCCACCAGATAACCCGTGCAGTCACCTTGCAGTCAAAAGAAGCAGCTCATAGGTTGAGAATGTTGCATGTTCAACCTCTGGGGAACCCGCTTGTTGCTGCAACTACTTGAAGTTGTTTGCAGAATATAAAAATAATTCAGTGCAATCATCAGACAACTGGAGATTTTTTCCTAGTTTCAAGATGGCTTATTGTAAGTCTTGTAAGTGTCTTTCATCTTATTTTTCTTATCTTCTAGGTGCTTTATCCCAAACATCTATGTAGCTCTGTGCACGGCAGTGCTGGTGCCTCTCATCTGTCTTGTTGCTGTGGTGGTTGTATTCATCCACATCTACCAAGTTACTGAGCAGTGGAAGGCCTACGATGACATTTACCGTGGACGGACTAACAGCACAGGTAAAAACCAAATATGTGACTACACACACAAACACACACAAATATATTAATGTATGCATAAGCAGAGATTTTATTATTTTACCACTTGCTGTTACCACAAAGAGATCATGAGAGTTACATCTGCATTTACACTCAGTCACACCCAATTTCTTTCTTTCGTGGACATGTACAAACACCACTAGGATGTCCCTCTGGAACGAAGCTACAAACAACATACCCTTATTTTGGGCAGAAGCTTTCATCCCCTATTTTCCAGTTTGCTGTTTGCTGGAGACAAAAACAGATTTAGGGTTTTTGCAGAAAGTGCAAACTTTCAGTTATTTAACACACACAAAAACACCCATCAGTACAATGTAGTAGTAGGTGTGCAAACTTGTACATTTCCAACTTGTAGATTATTCAGAATTCTTGTTTGCACACACACACATCCATCATGGATTTATGACCCGCACGAATCAGCTCTGTTTATACAGTGCAGTTAGTCCCTTTGGCCACACATGAAGATCCAGCCAAACCACTTTACTTGCTGATCATCGGGGCTGCAATCAATGGCCATCAGTGGGAATCAGCAGGCTTTAGCTTGTTTTGCTCAGTCAAGGCTCTCCGGTGACAAAGCCAAACCTGAATTAGTGCCAGTTCTTTTGTTGGCAAGCAGCTTGCCCGCAAACTGTGCAGGAGTGTTGAGGCAGTGTAGATGCTTTACTGAGTTGCAGGTATGTGTGCATTATTCAAAAAGGAACAGCACTTTCTCATTCACAAACCAGGCTGAGGCAAAAGGCCAGCCTGTAGGATTTGTACTTCACATGAGCAGTTTTTTGTGAGGAAAGCGAAAGAAAATAGAGTAAATTGGACAAACATTTATGTTTGAAATATGATACGGTAATGTGTGATGATTCCCAATAGCCTAAACTTTTGACCTATACTGTACATACATACACAATTGTACATATCTACATGCACATATAAACATAACATGCCCACAAACACACTTTAGTGCACATTGTATACTCCAGTGTTTGCAGTGTACTCCGCTGTTGTCAGTGTCTCAATATGTCTAAAGTCCAAAGAAGAATAAAACAATTATGGGAGAATATATTTATTGCTGTAAACACAGGCTACCCTTCTGCTCATTTCCCGGAATTATTTAAAGGTTGTATGAGTTGACTTAAAACAACAGGAACTGAACCCTGCACTATGCAGCAGCATGACAATCATGACAGTCAATAATTATCCCTATTATTTGTCCACTGCTTGCAGGCTCTGTGTGTGCTTCTGCAGTAATCCAAATAATAACTATTCATATTAAGCACTTAGAGTAAACTCAACCTTGACTTTCCCAGCCAGCTGAGATTCGTGCAGAACCTGCTGGACTGCTGATGCTATTTTGACAATGAACGCCATGTGCATGTTTTCAAATTCCTTAGTGAAGCAACAACCGATGAGATAAGCTAACAGCTAATCTGTGTCTGTCTGTGTGTTTGTGCCTGCGTGCCTGCGCGCGTGCATGCAAGATTATGAGAACCGCACATGTAAAATTCACAGGACTGTGTGAAATTTAGCAGAACTTCTGACGTCAGTGAAATCAAGGAAGTGCGTCGGTGGGCTTTCGTTTATGTTCCTCCCCATCAACAGATTTGAGAAAGTCTGGAGTTCTGCCAATGCAGGGCAGCGAATAATAATAAACGAACAAAAGGTACAACAGTGCATATCAGAAGCACAACAGTGAACCCTTATCTTGTGTTAGAAAGACTTTATGTTCTTGTGTTGCGCAAGTGACCAGACTTTAAGTTGAATGAATAACTATTATTGTTGCAGTTTTATGGCACTTAATGTTCCCTGGCTCCACTTTTAGCATTGATTGGTCAGCAGTATGGAAACACAAATAAATGATGGATAATGTTTAATTACTTAATATTGTTTTATTTACTTTGTGTGTTTGAGTGTTGCTGCTTTATTTGTATGCTAAGCGCATGCTTATATTTGTCATATCTTTATTAGTAATGGCCTTGAAATGCACATCCTTATTTGGACATTGTACTTTAACAGCTGATTGTTTTTATCATCTTGTTTCTAGTATTATTTTTTTTCCTTTGGTCATTACTCCTAGCTGTAACTAGATGCACTCAACACACGCTTACTCCTGCTTGTTGTTATTACAGCTGGTGACTTCTCTGTGACCTTAATGTTAGCACGATCTCGAGTTTCTTTCTGGTTGTTTTCCTTCTGTGCATGCTCACTTCTCAGTTTGTCTTCTCACACCAAGAACGCTGCACTGGTCAAATTTGAACTTGAGCCTGTCTGCTTGCCTGTGGAGGAAAGCAGCGTGTGTTTGTTGTACAGAAAGAAAGATAGCCATGACATCATCGAGCTTCTCTGAAACACAAAGCTTTTGCAGAGGATTGCATATGAATTCATGTCTGCTTATACATAATATGAACACACACACACACATGCACAGCCACACAGGCTCTTTGCTTCTACTTAGTGGTACAAAGCCAAACAGTCAGTCAGCATTTTGCAGTTAGTCTCAACTCGGCTCTGGGAACCTGTTCTTACTGTGGGAGCTCTGGCCCGTCCACAGACAGGAATGTGCTTACATGGTTGGAAAAAGTCTAACCAGGGAGGGAGGAGATGGAGACAGATGTGCAAGACACACTAAAGCCAGAGAGAGAGAGAAAGAAAGAAATGGGAAAGATAGACGATAGAAATTGATAGATGGAAGATAGAAAAAAGTTGTTATTTAACCTACACGTGTTTGTAGACAGTTTGTCCACATAAGGCAAACCGAGATGAAGTGTGAAATAATAATGCATCAGAGGCCGTGACCAAGGCCAACAGCGAAGAAAGCACTAAAAAAGTATGATAGAGCTAAATAAATAAAAATACTATGTGATAAGGAGCAGAAGTTAGAGCAGGGTGGAAATGACAGTGTGGTGGATGTGGCACCTAAGTGAGGGGTTTTTGTGCATACCTGGGCCCGTGTCCTGTGTTTCCATCCTACTTGTGAAGAGAACTGTACACTCTGTCCTACATAACACCTTTCATGCAGACTGTAAGGAGAGTGACTCAACAGTGTAATTTTGAATCTGATGTTCCCTTCAAATCATCGTAAAAACAGCTTTTACGCCTCATGTAGCTGTAAAATTTATTATGTTTATCTTCTGTGACCCTGCACTTTTCACTTCAAGACACACACACACATACACAGCATCACAGGTATTGTGAGCCTAATAAAAATGTCTTTTACATTCTTTGATAATGCAATGTGGAGTTAGTTATTAATCTAATGTTTCATTAACAGATCAGTACTGTAATCAAAACCAGTTTCTTTCATCTCCGGCTGCTTGCAAAAGTGAAGCCATTCTTCTGTTTCAGAGACTTTGAGAGAGCTAGCCATGCCTTCATTTCATCTCGCCTCGATTTTTGTTGATACCTGAGTGTTTACTCAGGCGTCAGTCTGTCATCAGTTAGCCGACTGCTGCACGGTTACTAACTGGCAGAGCAAGCAAGACAACATATCTCCCATACTAGCATCCTTACACTGGCTTCCAGTCAGTTTTCAAATTGATTTTAAGATTTCATTATTCGTTTTTAAGCCATTGCACAGGTTAGCACCCTCATACCTTTCTGATCTTTTGAACTGGTACACTCCTGCAAGATCATTGAGGTCTGCGGATCAAATGCTCCTAGCTGTCCCAAAGTCCAGATTGAAGCACAGAGGTGATCGGGCCTTTGCTGTGACTGCTCCTAAACTGTGGAACAAACTGCCCCCTCACATCAGGACCTCCCCAACATTAGACAGTTTAAAACCCCCTTTTTTCTTGTTAACCCACTTTTATTCCTTTGCTTTTAAATCAGAATGAGTTTGTACTACTTTTATTTGTCTTTTTTCTGACTCAAATCTTCTCATTTTATGCTTCTTTTCTTAAATTTTGTCATGTCTTCCTATGTTTTTATCTCCTTTGATTATTTTAAATGTACAGCACTTTGGTCAACAGTTGTTTTTAAATGTGCTATATGAATAAATCTGACTTTGACTTAACTGAATAACCCTGCACTTTATGTGTTAAAGCCATATTTTAGCTAAAAATATGTATATATCTGTATATCTGTAAATCAGTATTGGTTGCCAACTGCAAGCACCTGATGATTTGACTACAGGCTTAAGTTTCTCAGTACTCACTTGTCACACCCTGCTTTAATCCCTCCACTGTTTTAGCTTTTTTACTTTTCTATTCTTCTCCCTACAATTATTTCAAGATGTTTATCTCAGCATATTAGCTAAGTATTAATAGGAGTCAGGCTAGTATTTGTCTGAACAAAGCAAAACTCATCACTATGGTGCAATACTCTTAATTTCATGGTGGTAGCACTCCTAGTGTTTTTATTTGAGATCCCACATTTGCAACATACTTAGCAGGGAGGATGGGTGTGGTGCTGGTAATGTGGATGTGTTTTGAATATTCTTTTGACAGTGTCCAAATTTGACTAGTGCATTGCACTTGTGTTGGTTAGCAGGCTAACAGATATCCTCCCATTTTTGTACAGCAAGAACAATCAGGTTAAGAGAATTATTTGTGCAAGTAATAACGAAGTGCACTCCCTTTGTAAAATGTTATCTGCTTTGTAAGGACCACTGGATACTTACTTAATTATCTTAAGTCTGTCCCTACTTCAGTGGGTTTTTTTCTTGAATTATCACATCCTGAAGTCTGAGGTGACAGGATGTATTCCTGTCAGTGGGCTGCAGGTTGACTAGCTGCTATGGTCTAAAAGCAGTAAATGCTAAGAAGACCTTTTAAACTATGCACTTTTTAGTCGTATTGGTGAGATCAGTACACTTTGTGTCAATGCACAGTTGTTACAAGGTTTGTCAAAGTGTTATTCTCAGAACTTGGGGGTTGTTTTTTGTTTGGTTCAGTTTAAAATAAAATAAATAAAAAGCCATAGTTCCCCCTTTGGTAAATGTGTAAATGTAAATGTGTGATGTTTGACCTCTG